CCTGGATGGCTGGAGACATTACTGGCATTTAATGGGCAAAGGTCAGGGTACTGCTTAAGCATATTGCAATATCTTAGACAGCTTCCCACACCAAGCGTCAAATCTCACTAGTATGACTGCTGGGAGACCCTTCATTATCATTACATGGCTCCAGAAACTTCAAAGAAAAAATTTTCTTGAGAAAAATACAATTTCTTGAGAAACTGCTTCTCCAAAGCAAGCAGTTTCCACTATGGTTATGTGGTACTATATGCTTAAATCTAACCAAAACACCTCTTCTCAATTATGATTTCAAAAGAAAAAACAACCAACCACTAAGCAGAGGAAAAAGTATTATTAATTGATATAAAATCTACTACTTTTAGATCATCTGCTAAGGCAGGGAGGGGGGAGGAAGGAAAGGGGGAGGGAGGGAGAGAATAAGAATATATGATTGATTGATAATTAGATGAAACAAATTAAATCTAAATTTCCCTCATGGAAGTGAAATATTGTCATGGCCTTTATTTTCTTTATTAACTATAAGGGGTATAAATAAATAAAAAATTTTAACTGTAGAAACTAAAATGAACATATATGACAAGTCACACACACACATATATACATACAAGTCACTAACTTGGCTGTTTTACTGGTAAAAATATTAACATAATAAACCAAGTGAAAATTTAAACCATTAGTTGTGCGAAATATACTGGTACTGTGTGTGAGCACAGCTGGAGGAGTTGTGGATCTATGGATGCCCTGAGACCTAACAGGTACGAAGGCTTACAATGCCCAGTAGACATATCACCCATTAGAACAGGCACTTGAATCTCACTAAGTATAGGTAAGTTAGTAAAGTATTAGGAAATTCTGTTGACACAACCTTCAGAGTTCAGCTGCAATCTAACTGCTCACTCTTCTGGTCTTTTTGGCCACCTGCAATGCTCCTCCTCTGCTCTGAGCTGAGCGCAGTCACCTCCAGTCTCTATTAACTCATTCTGAGTTTTGATGACTCAGCCTGGGCCATAGTGACTTCCATGCTGCTTATCCAAGCAGGCCACTTGTGTTCATGTCTTGGTACTAGTAGGATGACTTTTCTTTACTCTTATATATCGGTTCATCATACTCCCTCTAGTTTCTTCAAGTCTTTGCTTGGGTGCCATGTCATCTCAGTGTGCCTGCTTTGACAGCTCTATTTAAGCCTGTAGCTCCTTCTTCAATGTTCCCCTTCCTTCCTCTTCCTCCCTCCCCTCCCTCCCCCCGCCTCTGAGCCAGGGATTCTCCATAATCCTGGCTGTACTAGAATGTGCTCTGTAGATCAGGCTGGCCTTGAACACACAGAGATCTATCTGCTTCTGTATCCTGTGTGCCTCTCAGTTTCTGAACTCTCAGTTTACTTCTTTCTGTACAGTGACTTGCTATCTGCCTCCCTGTATTAGTCAGCTCCATGAGGGCTATGACCGTCTTGTTCAATGGTGTAGCTCCAGGTCCTAGGACATTGTCTGCCACATAGTAGGTGCTCAAAAAGTATCTTTTGAATGAATATCTTAAGAAAATATACCCAATTCAATTAAGTAAATTGAATATTTCATTCACTCATGCAAAATGCTCATATTTCAGATACCATCAGCATAATGGTACCCAAGTGTAAAAGGCACCAACGTTACGGCAAGCACTCTGTTGGGTCTCCCTGACAACTGAAATACAGTGATTTTTACCTAGTCATTTCTTAATGTGCAGTCTGAGAATTACTTCTCCATTTCCTTCTTCAGTGGGTTTCTAAATGCTTCCTAAAAATTAGATGGCATGTCCCTCAGAAAAAGAAACTAATTTAATATAACCCAATATAAAAGTACTTTGACACACTGTTCCTTCTCTGTGGAAGGCCTTTTCACACACTGTTCCTTCTCTGTGAAATATTCCCTTGTCCTCATGCAAATACCCCATCATTCAAGATTGCCTTCAGGAAATCCTCTGGTGCTATCTTTTAATGATTCTCACCATCCTCTATAAAGATTGGTTTGCCTGTCTATAAAGATCACACCCAACAACTTTTACCTTTGTATACTTCTAGCACTTCAAAAAAGTAAAAAGATGTGGCTAACCAGGCATGGTAGGGGTGGGTGACATTTCTGTAATCTCAGCGTGTGGGGTGGTGGAGTCAGGCAGCTAACTTCAGATACACAGCAAGCTCAAGAACAGCTAGGGCAATCACTAGACTCTGTCTCAAAAAACTAATACCAAATCAAACTAAACCATCCAAACAAACAAAAATTGAGACAAACAGAACAGACCCCACAAAAGGCAGTTATATTTCTTTCCATGGAACTCAGACTAATTCCATGACCTTTTAATAATTGATATGACCAATCAAATGCCATAGGTGTGACAGGGAGCCATAACTGAGGCCTAGACATCTACAGGCCTGGTAAGTTCCATTCCTTTGAAGACCCAAGCCACTGTCCTTCTCAAGATGGGGCCACACGAAAAGAGTTGGGGAAGCGCTGACTAGGAGAGAAGGAAGAAGGCTTAGTCAGCTCTCCAGTTTCAGTTGGCTGAGATGTTAGTAGACTGATTGAAGCCTCTGTGCACTGGCCCCATGGCCTTGGCCAACTGTCTGGGTGACAGAGGCGAGCAGGTCCAGTCTATCTCTAACCAAACTGCACAGGGTGCAAATGATGTCAGTTGTTTAAAGTCACTTAGTGTTGGCCAGATTCCAGCAGTATATAATAAGATGTATCCCTTAGTCTCTTTTCTGATACCATCATACTTTCAGGGATTGCGCTTGGTGTGAAGTGGGCAATCAGATATTTGTGGAGTATGTAAATAGATGCTAAACTAGAAGATGAAGTCAAATATTTTCATATTTTGTTTGATTTGGCTTGCCATGGCCCATCAAAAATCTGACTATATTATTAGAAGCATTACACATAATTAAAACTTGTTATATAATAATATTGACATAAAAATTTTGTCAAGAACAGAATTCACACAAAATAAAATGTTGAGCAAACAGTTTTACACACAATGCTGTTACATAACTAACAATCTGCTTTACAAATTTTAAGTTTTCAGTATGCATTTTATAGAGTAAATTATTTGTCTTATATGATAGTCTAAGAGTACAACAACCATTCTATCCAGAACCACGACTTCCTGCTATGTTTAAAAGGGGAGTGGGATGCACCAATGTTCAGCACTTCCTTGATCACTCCCGTACTCCCTGGTCCAAGTCCCTAGAGCCACAGCTCCAGAGTTTTTCTCAGTGCTGGCTCACAGACTATCCTTGGTTGTGGTATTCCAACGGTACCAGTCTTATGTTTTACTGCTGGCATTAAAAAGACTCTTGAGGATAAAGGAGCATGATCGTCCCCAAATAGGACATGGTGAGCTTTCATGAGGGACCTGTAATTATAAGAAACTCTTGATCCTGAGGCACCATGTGTCTATTGAGCAAACTCCATGAAGCCAACATCTGAACTACCATGAGTCGGAAATGACATCAGAAAAAGGTAGATGAGAGTCAAGGGGAGAGAACAGGAAGAGAGAAGGGAGGGGGAACTGATCAGTATGTAAATAAAGTGAAAAAAAGTTAAGTAAATAAAAATTTTTCAAAAAGAAAATAGGTTACTATGAGTTTAGTAGTAGGCCAAATGAGAACTCTTACTACTGCCAATTTCTTTCATAATTAGATGAACAGAGAAAGAAGATACTTATGATGTCAGAATTATGAATGGGAAAATCTTCGACGGTCATAGGAACATCCTGGCTGTAGGCATCCCTCTATTTAAGACTTTACATGCATTGTAATTCAAATGCATTTGTAAAGAAAGGCCTAACCAGAACAAGACTGCCTATTTGATATCACTGTAATTCAAGGCTGTTTTAGTTATCTTGGACTTCTTGTACTCTAGTAAGGTACACACTGGATGGCAGTTAGAGCACTGTGGACACTGTAGGGACAAAGCTTTATAGCAAAATATTTGAAAAAAGAAATTGTTAAGGACTAGACAGCAAACTACCATGGGGCTGGATTACATAGAGTCCCCGTATATATGCAGTTATTAAAGTAACCTTTTATTTTTAGGGTATAATGTAACTACTTGAGTCCTATAAAAATATAGTAGTTGTCTTTATACAGCTTATATCCATGTCTCACTGTTCATTAGGCTATGTAGGCTAGTTTGTACTACTAGAGTTTTGATTCTATTTTCATTTTAAAATTTTTATTATTTAATATGGACTTTTAGTGAGAGGATTTTCACCCTACTAGTTTATGTTCTTCAATATGATTCATAACCTACACTAAGTTTCTTCTAGTCTTAGGTATTATTTTTAATTATTTTGTGCTGATAGGTGTGCTTGTAAATGTCATTATCGGAGTGAAATGGCTTTTTTCATCATTCTTTTCTTTTTTTTTTCATTCTTTTCTTTTTTAAAACTGATTTTTTACTACTTAACAAATAACAATGATGCTGCAGCGTAATGGTGATAAAGTCAGCAAAGACCATGAAGATGGCTCTGATTCCAAGGCAACATTCTCCCTTGGCTCTAACCCGATAAATGGTTTTTGGTTTCGGGTATCTGTTACTTTAGTACTCTTCTCGTCTCCTATTATTATTATTATTATAGTTTACAATACTTCAGCTTTACTTGAAAGAAATTCAGTTACAGAAAAGTTTTAGAAAAACAAATGATAAATTTACGAATATAGTTAATCTTTTAAAAAATAGTTTTGTTTTCCTTACTTACTGGCTTTGTGATTTCTTTATTTCTCATGGCAAAAGAGGAAAATACATTAGACTGCATGTATCTTTTAGGAAAAAAACTAAGGAAACTGAAATCACAGTGTTCCTGTTGATTAGTACAATGACTCTGAATACAAAGTAAGTGATGCTTATTTGCAAGTAAAATTTAAGATGCTCTCTGTATTAAGGAGAAATCCTTGGTTAATATTATGATTACCACTAAGTTTCCCTTCATAAACATTAAAGTTAATGACAAGAAATACTTACCTTCACATCTCTGTGAATTATGTTATTATCATGACAGTAGCGCAGTGCTTCCAGTATCTGTCGCATGTAATGGCTGTAAAATACAAGAGAAGTCTAAAAATTAATACATAGTGCCTCTACTTTATTAAGTCCCACATTTACATTAGCTACCTACAAACATCTTTCATTTGAGCAAACAAGACAGTGACTTAATAAAAAAAGTTGACAAACTTATATGCTTCTTCAAAAAACAATGTTTTCTGAGCTAAGTCAAAAGAATTCCACATAATCAATAAACAGCATAAACACGCCAAAGAGGCAAGCCATATATATATACACACACACATCTCCATATCCCTCTAATATCTTGGTTACCTCTATTTAGCTAAACTGGATTGCTATGAAGGAAACCGCTTGAAGCTATTAGAAGGATTCTGAATAAAGGGGTTGTGGTCTTCAGTCAGCCACTAAAAGTAGCTCTCTGCATTGTGTCCATTTAGTCATGAGGAGAATCTATAGAACCTGTACATATGCAATTTCTCTTTGTAAGTTAATCAGGCTTTAGCTGAAGGTACTCATGAATGAAGCAAGGCTATTTCTAAGCAGCTGGGGTCTGCAGAGGCTTCCACTAGGTACAGGCAAAGAACAAAGGAAAAATTAATTTTTTTAAGTTCTAACAGGATCAACTAATGACAGAGTATGAAAAGAGTCTAAATGTTCCTGCAGTTATTATAGGTTTACATCTGGATGAGACCACCTGAAGCTGAAAATATGGCAAGTTGAAAATGTATTAAATACATCCCTAATGTATTACCAAAAATTAGAGTCTAAGCTCAGTTTGCCTTAAGTATGCTCAAAACACATTAGCGATGTCACACTGCATAACACTAGTCCAGGAAAACCTAAAGTGTAGTTTCTATTGACTACACATCCTTTTATACCATCATAAAATACAAAATTGGAAAGTCAAACTAAGGCAAGACAGAGATGTCTTCCCTTTTTATCTCAAGCAGCCACTGTATAGAAGTGCTGTATTTCAACATTTTATTATACACTGCTTATTACACTTGATTGTGCTTTTGGATAGCATATTTCTGACACTAAATAAAACAAAATAATTGAAGTTAGAGCACTCACAATATACAGGTTTATGACTTCGGACAAAAAGTTTTCCTGCTTTATAACTGAAAGATTTCTGTCAAGTTTCCTCTTTGGTACACTACGGTCTAACATGCCTATACAAATATCCCTCTAGTAAACATATGGATTATTTTATGTATTATAATAGATTACAAGTTTCCCTTTAAAAAATAAAATGTACGGGAGAAAACAATCCAAACTTAAAAGTAAAGCAGCCTTTTATCCTGTGCAGATCATCTCTCCACACCTGGGCCCTAAGCAGTTCTCAGTGTGATGCTCTACTGAGAATAGACATGTAAGGGCTTTGTCTGGACCAGTTAAAAGTTTTGTTTAAGTCAGGAGGATTAACTTACTGTTGAGGACTTTTACTCATTCAAAGTAGACCTTGGAGGAGCTGTGATCCCTTGAAATGGCTAACAACAAATGTCAAAGAGGTTTGAACCTTGCAGTAAAGTCATTATTATTGTAGTTATTAGAAAAGAGATCACTCTGATTATAAGAGCTAGAGTAGACAACCCAGTGTTAGCCTGTTCCACAACTCATTAACACGGAAAGGACAGAGGCTGTCACTAACTGGGCTGTGTTATACTGTACTAAATAAGTACTACACAGATCCATGCTTTGTGCCATGTTTGCCACTCTGCTTGAAACTCAGCCAGTTAGAGAAAAACAGCTTTACCATTTGATTATCTGAGTCTCTAAGTCTTGCATCTGGACTCACTGAACTACCCATACAAGCTAAATTTCCTAATAGAAAATCACAGTACCAGAGAGAAGAAAGTCAGAAGTCACCTGGCCAAATACTACATACCACGAGAAGACTCTCTATACCCTGTTAGTGATCTGGGATAAGAGGAAATACAGCTAATGATACCACCTGAGTGGTACCTTTTTCATTGTTAGAGAAGAAGATACTTTAATAAGGTGTGTCCAAACATTTCTGAGCAATGTCACTTGCTGGTCGCACTGCTGTTTTTTTCTGTTCCATTCGCAAGAGTTCCTTTCATAAAACCACCATTTAACAGCAAATATAGTTGGGTTTTTAAAAATCAATAAGCGTTCATCTTGATATATACACAAACAGCTATCTTTCCTATAAAGTCTCAAGATTCCGGGAGCCTAGAAATCATTTAACCACATAACATTACTTCTATGTGCATATGCTGAGACCCAGACCAAGATTGAAGTTGAAGGAAAACTAAGAAAAGTTACCAAAAACTGGAGATAAGAGGAAAAGTAGTGGCCACCAAGTATGCCAGGTGCTCCAGTGTGGCCGTGCGGCAAAAGGAAAAAAAAAAAAAAATCAACTCCCTTCATGCAGGAAAATTTCAAAGAATGAAAATTCTAAAATTTTGATTTTTCTTACTTTATGTTGTTCTTAGTAAATGAACGAAAGACCATTGGAGGGTATAGAGTAGAGGACTTAACCAGCATGGCATGCAAGACGTCCTAGGTCCAGGTCAATGCTTGGTGACCAAAAAAAAAAAAAAATACAAAAGTTCCCTTGAATTCTTTAAGAAATGTGTGTGTGTGCGCACACGCATGCGCGTGTGCTTGCAAAAGTCTGAGAGTTCCATTTACTTTAATAAGGTGATTCATAAAAATGCCACAAGAAAAATCAAGATAACACCAAGTGTAGTATTAGAGCATGCTTGTTACTCTGGAAGCACAATAAAGGATGACAATCTAAACAATCTGAACCCTTTACCATATTGTGGCCAGTGACTGAGGAGGAATGCTCTAGCTCATGTTATTCAAATCAGGAACCTGCCAGTGCTGTGACTGAGTCCAATCAAAGCAGAGAGCTGTATTGCTTTAAGTCTATAAGCTAGTGGTGTAGTGCATACATGGCTACTATAATTTTCCATATTTGCTTCTCTTTTGAGTCATTAGGTTTTTATGACTACTGTTCCACTAGGTATAACAGCTGTCGCTTGGTTCAAAGACCACATATTGGCCCGAAGCAATGTATTCAACAGAAAAATAGGGCTTTTAATTTTCCTCCTCTTATTCTTATGTGCTTCCCTTAGATTAACTGGTTACATAAGAAACTGAAAGATCACTAAAAAGCAACATAAAGAACTAATGAGGTACAATTTGCCAAACCCTCAAGCTTAATTTTACATGGGTCCTGGGCTACCAAACCCCTGTTTGTAGAAAGACACCAGGAATGGGTAAAATAGGAGCATTTGTGTGCAAAAGCAGTCATGTTAGCAGATCCAGGGTTGGCCATTCGCTGCACATTTCCAGCTACTGTCAGCTTCTACACTGCATACTGCAGTGTCCTTGCAGACAGAAGAGCTGGTGACTTCCTGTGATTCTATGGTCAATTCCATCTCTTATTTCCGCTTTACTTCTGGGGATTACATGCAGATCACATACCTGGCCACAGCTTCACTGTACACAAAACCAGCATCAGCTCGCTTTACGATTTCAAAACACAGATCTGCTCCATCCATACTGCAGAGAAATGGGAAAAATAACATGAGAAAAGAGGAACTTCCAAGACAACATTCAAAGTGAACATATCATTGTTGGGTGCATTACTTAAATCCCCCTTCTTTCAATGAAAAGCACACAACTATAGAAGGTATTATAACCATGTGTTGAAAATCTACAGAAAAAGACTTTTTTTTTTTTACAGAGATTAAGCTAACAGAAGTATCAAATAACACAAATATCAGCAATAAGTCTAAGAGAGCAACTCTAGAGGTGGTGTGTATAAGTTTTGAATTAAATTACCAAATTCTCTTTGTAGTCTAAGAATACAAAGTTCCCCCCCCACCAACATTTTGAAATCACTAGCACCAATAAATGGGAAATTTAAGTTACATTCTGTGAAAGGAAAAAATAATAAGCCAATACATTATTTATTTATTTTACCTTCTATTACCCAAATCAATTGCTATAGACACATTCTAACACATTGATGTGCTACTAATACCCTCTAATACTACCTTGCCTTAAAACTTAAAATTTCTCAATTTCTCACCTTGGAGGTGAGATCTCTTCGATCTACTCTACCCATGACATTTTAAGAAAAATCAAACTTTACATAGACTGATCTTATTATTACTTTATTAATATCCCATTTCCTTTTCCTTTTTCCTGGCATATGCCTTTGTATATACTTTCTCATATTTAAAACATCTTAATTCAAATTTTCATTCCATTCCCATCTACAAAGCAAACTCCCTCAGTGATTACCAGCTTTTAATTGCTAACAAACTATAGCCTGCACCATGCCATTTAGACTTTATGCAACCTAAGTACACACAAACATACAGGTACATACATGAAACTCATGTAAGATCACTTATATTAAAAACTATTCAAATACTAACAGTGAATATATTTATAATGCATATAAAGTATTTACAAATTCTCTAGGTCACTTTTCAGTATAATTACTGCAGGTAAAATATTGAGACACAAATTCCTTAAATGGAAAGTCAGGGCACTCACACACTATTATTATGAGAGTTCATGGGAAGCAGTCTGTCAGATCTCCTTTCACACTTCTGATTAAGCACCCCATAAAGTTAGCAGTTTGATTCTCAAGTAAATCTAGTTATTGGATAGATAGGAACAGTACTTAAATCAGTCTGGTTGTGTCCATTGCTTTTCCCAATGCCTACAGCTACACCTATTGGGTATGCAAAGAACAAGTATACACTGTCACACTCTACAACAGTTCAACAAGAGTAGAAAGTCCTAAAAAACAGTTTATACTCAACACACTCCAATTCAATACTAAGCAGAAGACTGAGCACAAAGAACTTTAATGAACAGTTGATTACATCATTTAGATCTTAGTATGGTTTTACACAAATGAAACATTCCCATATTTATATAAGACTTTAACATTTTTTATTTAAATTTTTTCATTTTACATACCAATCCCATTTCCCCCTCCCTCCCCTTCTCCCATCTCCACACCCCCATCCAGTCCTTGGGGAGTCAACAATGTCTGACATACCAAGATGAGGCAGGACCAAGCCCCTCCCCCTTGTATCAAGGCTGATCAAGGTATCCCACCATAGGAAATAGGCTCCAAAATGTCAGTTCATGCACCCGGGGTAGGTCTTGGTGCCACTGCCAGCTCTCCACCCCCACAACTCTCCCCCAACACAACAGATCAAGCCACAGAGCTGTCACCCACATTCAGAGGGTCTAGTTTAGTGCCATGCAGGTTCCACAGCTGTCAGTCCAGTGTTTGTGAGCTCCTGCTGACTCAGGTCAGCTGTCTCTGTGGTTTTCCCCATTATGATCTTGACCCCCACCCCCACCCCCTTGTTCATATGATTCCTCCCTTCTTTCTACAACTGGACTCCTGGACCTCAGCCCAGTGCTTGGCTGTGGATCTCTGCACCTGTTTCCATCAGTCACTGGATATAGATTCTATGATGACAGGATAGTCACTAATCTCATTAACGGGAAGGCCCATTCAGACACCCTCTCCACTATTTCTAGGAGTCTTAAATGTCATACTTCTTGGGCATTTTTCAGTGTCAAGTCGGATTCTTCAAAATGTTTACTATGATAAAAAAATCTGTGTTTTTTAAAAATTTTTTTGTATTCTTTGTGTACTCAAGGCTTGTGAACAACTCTGATCATGTTCTAGAAGAGAATTCTTGAGTAGGAATTATTAGGTCAAGTATTTATAATAATGCTTTTGGTATCCATACTTTCAGACACATTTTAACAATTCATACTGTTACTGCAGAGTGCCCTTTCCTCTACCATGCCACAGGAGGCAATCATTTATGCTGGCTTTAATTTACAATTCTTTGATTATTGGAAAAGCTGAGTATTTTCCTTATTTCTCTTTAATGTAGGGTGAAAAATGGCTGCAGTTTAAGTTGGTTAGTTGATCTATGAGAACTAAAAAAAGAAATCTCATAGTAAAGAATTTCTTCTATATAGGCATTTTTCATTTTCATTGAAATTTAAGGATAAGTACTATTCAAAAAGTCAGGTAAAGAAGAAAGCCAAAGGTATCACAAAAGGAAGACTTTTCAGAAGGATATAGGGCAGGAGAGGGGGGAAGAAGATGGTGCTGGGAAGGTGGCAAAGTGATGAGAGGACAAAGTCTAGGAAGGGAAGGAGTCTGAGAAATAACTAGGAATTACTCACTGACTAGTGCTATAGCTACCAGAAATGATCACTACGTTACTTTCTGGTCATATCTGAAATACTAGTACTTCCAATGAGAAACTTCACAGATGCACTTATACACATAGGTATTTTTTTTTCTTTGTTTGTTTCTGTTACCTTCCACTGACTGGTCTATTCTTGTATCTACTATTATACAATTTTAAATACTATAATAGCATATTATAATATTAGGCAAAATTAAGTTTCACATTATCTTTATGAACTTTTTCTTCCAGTTAAAAATTGAAACAATTTTGTGAAACTGTCAAATATCTTTATATTTTAGCTCAGATGGAATTATTTATATATTAACTTCCAGAATTTAGTATTTTTATCTGAGTAGTGTAACTCTTATTTCTTTTCATATCTCTAAGTTATGAATTTAAGGTTTCTTTATATTGATTTCAAGTATTATTATTTCTTCCATAGGTATTATATCTATATGTAGCTAGTTCTCTCTTTTCCTGTCTCCCTCCCTTCCTTTCTTCTGTGCTGAGGATAGAACCCAAGGCCTCACACAAGCTAGTCAAGCACTCCAATACTGAGTTACTTCCGTAGCTCTGGTGTTTTAGTTATTAATAAATGAGGTCTTTTGAACATTATATGTTTTTTTAAAATTCAGAGATTCATAACCAGGAGCACTGAACAAAATTACAGGTGTAACTCATTTTAAAATATGCAGGCATGTTTACGGAAGGATTGTTTAGCAAGAATGACAACCATGAAAGCATCTTTCTATTATTATTATTATTATCATTATCATCATTATTATTATTTAGTTTTCTGAGACAGGGTTTCTTTGTGTAATAGCCCTAGCTGTCCTAGAACTCACTCTGCAGACCAGGCTGGCCTTGAACTAACAGAGATCCCTCTGCCTCTGTCTTCCAAGTGCTGGGATTAAAGGCATGCACCACCACCATTCAGTTATACCTTCCTATTATTAAAGGCATCTGATTATTCATAACATTAACTGATATCAAGTAAAATCAATGCATTAATTTTTAGTTTCATGAGATACAGAACTAAAAACTAAAAATATTGTTATGTATGTAAATTTTATTCACCATAAATTTAATCTATACATATGCATAATAGACACAATCCTGATATAATGAACTTGAATATTTTATACAAAACTGATGATTTGTTTCCTTTGAGACACTATTTGAAAATATGATACTTTCAAAAACAGTGAGAAGGCTTCTTTTATTGCTATTCTCTTTGATTTGCCTTCTTGGGGTACTTATTCAGCAGTTTATGAATCTTCAGAAAGCAGGTTTTGTATTTTCCTAGTTGTCTCCCAAGAGTGAAATGAGAGGGAGAAAAAAGCCTGTATGGAAAAGGATGGGGAGGGCTTCTGTACTACATGTGGAGAGAAACCAGGGGAGGTGACTATAAATCATGAAAAGTGGTGGAATTATGAATGAATGACTTTAACTGTTTCCTCTTTGTCTACATGAATCAAGAATTATTCATATAATTAAGAAAATGATCCAAAGTCAATGTCTCAAACAAAATAGGTCACAAGGTATGAGTATGTGTATTCTGAAAAGGGTAAGAATATGCCACTCCCAATTCTGCCACTCTGGCCTTTTGAGCTGAAAACATAGCATCATACATTATGATTTTCAGAGCTATTGTCACAGCAATTTCTACATGTTGACAGGCAGTTTCTATACCTGTCTCATAGCACACCAACTTGTAAGAGGTGGCAGGCTGGTATTTGTATGCAAATGACTCTTTGAGGAACACTGTTTAAAAAAAAGACAAATTTCTCTGACCAGCAATTTCTCTGAAGATGACACAAACAACTATAAAACCTAGATGAAATTAGAAAAAGCAATTTTACATCTTCAAAGAACAAACAGCACAGTGAGCTGAAAACAGAGAACAGATCAGAGCCCAAAGACATGAGCAAGTAGAGCTGCTTCTGCCCTGGGCGGTGGGGGTGGTGGGAGTGTCATGGAGAAAGTGAGCTATATAAGGAGGCAGCTGTGAGAGGACACTTTGGGGGAACTATGAAGTGACAGCATCCTGATGCTTCTGCACCTGGCTGAGCTAAGAGGGGAGACTGAACTCTTGTTCGGCAGATGTCTGAAGAGCCTGCCAAAGGCTACACAGCTGTGTTTTGAAAATTGGAATATAGAGTACAGTCTGCTGTGACATACTGCTAGCATAGAAAACCCCTAAATGCTTATTATTAATTACTATCTAGGTAAAAGGTGAACCTAGCAATTTCAGCCAAAGCAAGCGTTCAGGGTTATGTTTCCTGATCATAAGGCAGCTGTGTTAGAAGTAAATTA